GCTTCTCTTTCTGCACCTTCTAAAATTCCTATAACTCTTATGTTGGGCATTTTAATTGTATCTTTTAAATCTTGGATACTTTTTCTTTTAGCGTGGCCCAGCTCTGCTTCCAGCTTTTTGCTTGTTTTTCTCTGATAGCAGGAAATATCTTCCAGTTCTGATATTCTTTCTTCTGCTTCATTCATTCTATTTTTGAGACTCTCCACTCTACTTTTAGTTTGCTCCACTGTACCCTTAATTTCTGAAATATCAGCTTTCATTTGTTTCACTTCCTGTGTGACATATTCCTTAAATTCCTTGAACGCCTGTATTATGTGCTTCTCATTGTTGGTCAAAAGCTTTATTATGTGTTTTTTTGAATTCTGTGTCCCTCATTTTCTCAATGTTTTCCTCAGTTAACTCTGAAGATGGTAGAGGCTTTTGCTCCTTTGCCAGAGAGTCTTTTGTAACATTCATAGCGTCTATCTCTTCTTTTACCTTTTGTCATTGCAATTCTGGTAGGCGGATTCTTCTCCTTCGTTTCTTAGATGTATAATGTACAGGTCAAGTTGATTTTTATGTTCAGTGTCCGTAATTAGGAAGACACCAGTTATCCTAAATAACTGATTTGTTAGTGGCGCTTATTTTGCGCAGCTCAGCTGTCCTCCATTCAGTCTAACAGTGCCTGGTTCTGTGAAAATGGTATTGGAGCTGTACTGATTTAATGTATGCACAGTTTACTGCTGCTCCTCCTGATCTCTGAGCACTTGCCCCTCTGTGCAATATGGTGCCTGGTGGGACACTGACATAGATCCAGGGCTGTCAACTGTCAGAAATGGAACCACACAGACCCTGCAGGATATGGGACTGGCACTGCTTTCCCTGTGGGCTCAGCTCAGTGCAATTAGCTAAAAATGAGCCTACTCCACGCCATTTCTTGTAATTCATACTCTTTGCCCCGCTACACAAGATGGTATCTGCCATGGCACTGCTGGACCATTGGAGATGCTGGACCATTGGAGCTGCTGGCTTTCAGTTCCAGAGACCACACAGACCCTGCAGGATGTGAAGCTAGTACTGCCCTCCACATGGAATCAGAAACAAACCCACTGTCGGCCGTCCCCTAAACTCTGCACTAACTGCCCCACCATACAAGAGGGCACCCAGTCTCCAAGTTGTGAGTCCCATCCTGCCATTGGCCTGCCCCCTGAAGTCTACAGTTCTTTCTCTGCTTGTTGCTGGGTCAAACTATTTGCTAGATTGGCAGTTCTCATACTGCATTCACCTCCTGAGCTCTCTGCATGAACCCAACCTCCCACCTGGCTGCCATAGAGCTAAGCTGTGGCCACCTCTGGGTTCCCCCTGGCTATCGCTGGTGTCAGGATTGCCACTTGCCAGCTGCTGGTAGGTTTTTTGTTCACTGCAAAATACTGCCAAGATAAATTTTATTATTCTTTCTGTTTTTAGAAGAGGAAACTTAAACCTCACCCAAACTCAAAGAGACATAACAGGCAGAGGGAAGACCAGAAAGTCCAGTATTTGACTCCACATTCTCAAACACTAAATATCATCTCCTCCAAAGGATGTCCCAGTGAAAAACAGAACATGAGCAGCCCATACTGTAACAGAAGTCATTGAGAAAGGTGGCCATGAGAGCATACAGAAGAGAGGAGCTCCCCCTCCCCAGATGGCTTCAAAACACTGATACAGGGCTGAAATTGTGCCGCATGGAGTCTGTTTGTTGCCTGCCACAACCCTGGTTTGAGTCGTGGTGCTCTACTTCCAATCTGTCTCAGTACTAATCTGCCAAGGAAAGTACCAGAAAATGACCCAAATCATTTGGCCCCAGCCACCTACATGGGACATCCAGCTGGAATTTCAAACTTTTGGATTCATCCTGGCTATTATGGCCATCTGGGTAGTGACCCAGTGGATGGAAAATGTCAGTCTCTTTGTCTCTCTCTCCTTCCCTTCCTTTGTCCCTCTCAAACTCCACATTTTAAATAAAATATATAAATCTTTAAAAGGTAAAATTTGATGCTGATTACTTTTTCTGTCATTTCTGCAATCTATTCTCCACTTAGTAGCCAGATGATGTCTCAAAACATAGAGTAAAACTTTTTTTTTATCAATATGGCTTTCAACTCTACAGAAGCCCCCTATTGTTTTAATAATAATAATTTATAGTATAATTATTAAATGCCCCATCCTTATGATCTCATTCTTGTCTACCTCTCCAAGGTCATCCTTCATTATTCTCTTCCTTATTCATCACAATCTAAACACACTGGCATCCTTTTGTTTTGCAAGGATACTATGTTCTCTTCTACCATGAGGACTTTGCATGTATTCTGCCTGCTGCTGGTAATGCTTTCTATGTAGTCAGCTCGCTCTCAGCCATGAGGTCTCTCTTTGTGTGTTCTTTAACAAGTTCTTTTCCAATAGCTTTCCTTTCTATTTCTAGATACCCAAACAGGCTGCCTTATGCCCTTGCTAGTATTGGTAGCCATAGTCTGAAACTGTATTTTATCACTTTATAAATATATTTCTATATCTAGCTCTGGGATCTTGTATATTCTTGGCCCTAGGTGGTGTCTGACACACCAGAAGCTCACAGTTAACTACTAGTTTTATTTCCTCAGGTCATACTCCGATGCTCACAGAAGGACTATTAGATGAACAGGCAAATGATTACATTTTATTGAATATTTCCTCTCTCCTAGGCACTGGTCTCAAAGGTAAAAATCTAATAATATACAAAGTCTTTGAACTCAGGATCTCAGAATCTAGAATAATGCAGGAAATAAGGTTGAGTAGATATTATCTATTGAAGCATTCATTCATTTATCTTTCTTACCAACTAAAATGAATATTCCATGAGGGTAGTGAGTGTGTTTCATTACTGATCATCAGTATTTAGAACAATGGCTGACACATAATTGGAACTGATATGAATGAATGAATGAATGAATGAATGAATGAAAGAAAGAAAGAAAACAAGGATCTTGCTTTACATGGAAGAGTCTGGCACAGGACCACTCCAAACACAGAAAAAAAAGTATTTTTACTTGGACATTGTATTGGATATGCAAGTGAATGCAAAATGTAAGAACAATCTTGAAATGCTTTCTGTAGTTACATAAAAGTCCACAAAATATGATAGTATTCTATCCATCCCTCTATCTTCCCATCATTCTGTTTTCCTGTCATTCCATTGGTTTATCATTTACTCAGTCATTAAATAATCATTACTCGTGTGTGTACTGTATGGTAAGTTCTGGGAAAACACAGGTGGGAGACATAAACGATCCTTGTCTCATAAAGTTTGTGGGTTGATGGATACCTTCAAAAATTCTTTAGGGTAGAAAAATTCTGACTGACACATAGAGTGTAGCTAAACTCTTACAATACAGTACTGAGTTCACATCATGAATAATCCCCAAGTCACCTTCTAGTTTTGGACAAATCATGAGAATCTGTGGTCTTTGGTTTTTAATCTATAAAATGAGAACATTAATGTTACTCTCCTAAGATGATCATGAACTATACTTCTAACAGATGTTAAAGGGCTAGTCAATGTCCAGTTTGTGTCCATACTCAGATAATAATTTCCACTCTGTCTTATTGAATATAATCACATTCAAAACTAGTCTCCAATGGAGGGGGTATTTGATCTGGCACTAAAGTGGTCTCCTCCCATATCCCAATACCTGGAGTTAAAGATCCTGACCCAGCTTCCTATTTCAGTTTCCTGCTAATACACTTCTTGGGAGACAGCGAAAATAACTCACCTCACTGAGTCCCTGCTACCCACCTGGGAGACAGACTGAATTCTCAGCTCCTGACTGCAGTCTGGTTCAGCTCAACTGCTGTGTGTGCTTGAGGAACTGATCAATAGATAGAAGCTTTCTATGTCTTTCTTTCTGCCTCTGTCTTTATACCTCTCAAGATATATATATATATATATGTATGTATATATATATGTAAACATATATATGTATATAAACAGACCCTAAGTCTGCAACTTGTGATTGTCTGATTTCTTCCTCAACAATGACTTTGTTCATGTTATTGTCTGTCACTGACAGAGGAAGAAAAACTAGGCTCCACCCCCTTGCCTGGCCTATTTTGCATAAATCTTTCTGCACACAGAAAATGAAATGCTAAGGTGGGTGTTCAACACCTGACACGAGAATATCCAAACATGAACTACAGAGCAAGGCTGGAGTCCATTGAACTTTGCCTTTTCTTGCCACACCAGAAGAGCCCATTGGACTCTTCAGTAGAGCAGTCTGGGCTGGAGGCTGATAGGCTGTGTCCTGGAGCCAGGCTGACCAAGTCAAGCTCTGGTCCTGATGATTCAGCTACAGTGTTCTGAATTACTTAACTTTACTCTGTGTAGTCAGAGAATCCACAGATCACTTCATGGGGTGGCTGTAGTTATAGGATTTAGAATGTGAAAGTAGGACCAGGCATGGTAGCCTAGCGGTTAATGTCCTTCCTTGCATGCACAAGGATCTCCTATGGGCACCGGTTCTAATCCCAATGGTCCAACTTCCCATCCAGCTCCCTGCTTATGGCCTGGGAAAGCAGTGGAGGACTGTGCAAAGCTTGGGACCCTGCACCCACGTGGGAGACTTGGAAGAGGCTCTAGACTGCTGACTTCGAATTGGTGCAGCTCTGGCCATTGGGACTGCTTGGGCAGTGAATTAATGGATGGAAGATCTTCCTCTCTGTATATCTGACTTTCCAATAAAAATAAAATAAAGCTTAAAAAAAATAAAAAGTAAAATGTGATGGCGGATGTCAGTGCAAGGCACAAAGCTTTGTCCACAAAAGGTGCCCAATAAATAAAAACTCTGTGCAAATTTTTGAAGGAAGAATATTTGAAAACACATAAGATGAGAATATATTATTAGTAAAACCAATATCCTTTTAAATAAGTAGTCTTGTTGTTTCCCCTGAAGTTCGATTAGAAATGGACAGTAAGAGATTACTGGAGGGGCTCACCTAGAAGCCACCTGAATGTTCTGGATCAAAAACTCTATAGAACATAGTTTTCCCAAAATTCCCTGTCTTCATTTCCCCACAGAGTGATTCAATTCAACATACTCTGATTTCTGTACCTTCAAAAAATATCCTCGAACAGGTTATTTTGTTTTGAGTCAGTCGTATTATACATGTACCTGTCTAAATGACCAGACATACAGCAATGGGGAAGAACACTACAGCTGTAATTTTAAAACTAGCCTTAAGATATTCTACTATATAAGCACATAAGCACAATGACAGGTTTTTGTTTGTTGCTGATATGAAAGAGAAAAAAAAATTGCTGAAGACCTTTAAGGAAAATCTTATTCAGGCCTTGTGCTGAGTACTGGTTATTTGGCAAACATTTCACATGTGTTAAAATATCAACACAATGGAAACAGCAAATAACTTAGAAGCTATCCTATCTTCCTCTCTTTTTCTCACATCTCAAGCCTGTTCTCTGAGTGGCAGTTGCTGGTCTTATTCCAAATTAAATTTTAAATCCGAGTCATGTTACTTAACCTTGCAATGGCTACATTGCCTCCACTATAAAACAGGATAAATCACTTGCTTCTTGGTCTTGCAGTAAATGGGATCTCATCTCTATTTAGAATAGACATTGTGAGAATGGGTTGCTATTTTTGTTATTATTGATGTTGCTATGGTTTCCCTGCTTTCTTCCTGATTCCCATTTTCCTGTGTGATTTTTTATTTACACAGCTTCCAGAATGATCAAATAAATGCTAGCTTATTTCACTTCTTAGTTTTAAACTCTGATAGCTTTTTTACTTACTTAGCATAAACTCCACATTATTTCCATGACCTTTATAGTTCTCTGCTACCCTTCCTCTGACCGTGTGTGGGCACAGCCTTCTCCCTCCTAGTTGCCTGGACCTATGACTGGAGCTTTCTTTTTAAGAATTTATGGCAGTCGTTTCTGCTGCAGTATAGGCCTTCTTGTCTGAACCAAACCTGTATTAAACAGTTCTCAACCCAAACGTCACCATTTTGGAAGATTTGGGGTCACCATAAAATTGATTTCACTTCCAACTCCCTAGTGATTACTCTAATTCAAATTTTTTTCATGGCATTTACTGCTATTCAAATAAAGACTACAAATGCATTTGTTTGGCCATACTAGAGGAGATACTACCATTATTTTACTTGAATGCCTTAGGTAAGACCTGTACCACCCCCCCCCACCCGAAGGAATTTGTATTTCTCACACTGTATGGGGTAAAAATATGAGACTTACAAATCCATAAGTATATTGTACTACAAGAATAAAGCCATTCAGAAGATTTATAACAAGGTCTGTGTTAGCTTTTATTGGCTATAATCAGAACGAAAAAACATAGGGATGAGTATTTGACACGATGGTTAAGATGTTGCTTAGGGCACCAACATTTTGTACAGACAAGCATAGGTATGAGTCCCATTTCTGTTCTTTATCCCAGCTTCCTGCTAATGTACACTTGGGAGGTAGCAGAGACAGCTCAAGGAATCGTGTCCTTAACCCCATGTGGGAAGTCTGGATTGATGGCTGGGTTCCTAGTTTCAGCCAGGCTCAACTCAGGCTATTGTGGTTATTTGGGAAGATAAAAATTGTATGTGGAAGATATGTCTGATTATCTGTCTTTTTCTGTCTCTGTGTTTTTGCTTTTAAAGTAAAAATAGAAATTTTTTATTATTATATAAAGATTTATTCATTTTAAAGGCTGAGGAACATAGAAAAGGAGAGACAAAGAAAGACAGAGAATCTCCACCCACTTGTTCATTCTCCATATGGTCTCTATGGCCAGATGTTGCTGAGTCAAAGGCAGGAGGTCTCCCCCAGGAAGGATGGGCTCAGGAACTTGTTTCATTCTATGCTACCTTCCCAGGTAATTAGCCATTTAGCCGGCTTGGTTTGCGTGAAAGAATGATTATAAAAAATAATCTCCAAGGAGACATTTCATTGTTGGAAACCAAAGTGATATTACTACTTCAGAGATAACAAGAGATAGGAGACCACGGGTTAAATAAACCAAGAATTTGAGCTTCTGTGGACTCTGTGTTCCTATATTATATTTTATTTGGCCTTCAGGATAACACAATAAAGTAAGTACAATTATGGTGTTCATTTTACAGATGACCTGTATCAGAACCTGAGCTGTTAACTGATGTGTTATAGGTTTGGAGGAAGGGTTTGAACCAAAATCAATCAGGCTGAAAGATCTGCACTTGTTCACTGTGCAATGTTGCCTCTCAGATATATCAAATGCAAAAACCTGGAAATAAAAAGATGGCTCTTTTAGGTGCACTGTGTTCATTATAAACTGATTACTCCACTATAGAAATAGAGTTGGAATACAGTATCTCTTCTTTAATTAAACTTGACTGAAAGCAATGAGGCTTTTAATTTAGACAGGACTCTCCCTTGCACACTTTAAGAGCTGTCATATAATGAAAGGATAAAGGTAGTATCCGGATTGCTAAATAGTGAATTTAGGACAGGTTGTTAGAAGTTTTTAGTTGTGCAGTCATCTTTGTTTCCAGTTCATTTGATGAGCTTTAAAGCAAATACATAAGCAAATAAATGTCTCTCTGTGTAAGTGCACATAAGGCATATTGTCTGCTTTGTATACTGTGTTATTCTCAATGTATCTAAGAAATGTATAAGAGTTTGACAGGGTAAAAAGTTACAAAATCAGTCAAGATAAATTGGTAGCCTTAGATAACACAGACAACTCCAGGAGAAAAATTTGTAAGTACAGCTTTTATTCAAATAGCTAAAAAGAACCTTAAGCAACTCAGATTAAACCTGAACAAAGACATGGAAAACCTGTATGATGAAAATTATAAAACATTAAAAAAAATAGGAATTGGAAAAAGACACTAAAATGGATACATGTACCATGTTCCAGGGTTGGTAGCAGGCATTTTTCAGAAGAACAAATTCAAATGGCTATTACATATGTAAAAAATTGCTCAGGCTTCCTAGCTGTCAGGGAAATACAAATAAAAATCACATTGAGCTTCCACCTAACTTCAGTGAGATGGGCCTACATTCGGAACTCTAATAACAGCACCTGCTGTTGAAATAAAGGTTCCTACACTATTGGCTAGAATATAGGCTAGTATAATCACTGCTGAAGTCAGTATGGAGAAAGCTATGACAACTGAAAATTCATCCCACTTCTAGGAATATATCCAAGGTAAATGAAATCTACATATGAGAAAGTAACCTGAAGTCTTATATTTATGGCAGCACAATCTGCAGTAACAAACACATGGAAACAACCTAGAGGAATGTCCAAAAAGGAACGGATGAAGAAATTGTGATACATCTGCTCCATGGAGTACTATTCAACCATTAAAAAGAATGAAATTCTAACATTTGCAACATAATGGTCTCAATGGAGACTATTGTGCTCAGTGAAATAAGTCAATCTCAAAAGGACAAATACAGGATATCCTCTCTGATCTAAGGCAACCTCTATGCAAACACAAGGTAAACAGATATATAGGTAAACATGCATATACCTATATTGCCATAGAAGAGCTGTATAGTGGAGACTAGGATACTAAGAAGTAAAGATACATTGCTGTGTGCACCTCTACTGAATGAAAAGAAGATGACCAATGAGACTGTTAAATGTACCCTTTACAATATGATATATCATTTTCTACTGTTGCCGATACCTACAATACCATGACACACTTAAATAGCATACTGTTAGACTTGTATCTGTGGCTGAAGGTCTACGGTAATGTCATGATATAGGAGAAAAGAGTTGGAGCGGGGAATGGGAAGGAAGAAAGAGAAGTGGAGGTGAGGGAAATCCATATACCTACAAAATCATGTCATGTTATGCAAAATAATAATTAAAAGAAATTAGAATACTTGTCATATAGTTCAGGCACGATATATATGTGTTGAATGAAATAAGTCAATGCCAAAGAGAAACCTAGCCTTTTGAGCGCCTCATCAATGTATTTTTGAAGCCTAACAGTCTGGACACAGGTCCTTGTTCTTCTAAAAGAATGCATAATCACTAAGGAAGCATTACTGAGCATTTTCTAGATGCCAACCAATTCATTAAACGTTTTACAACCATTGCTTCATTTCATCCTCACTGCAATGGTATGAATTACGGACTATTAATGCCTCTTTTCTAAAAGTAGATACCGAAGTTTACAAAGGTTCAGGCATTTGTCCAAGGCCTTAAGTCATAGGGCTTAAATCCAAACGCCAGGCCTTCATCAATTCTGTTGTATGGTGTGCGAACTTCAGTTAATCACCTGGTCCCTGTGTAGGAACATGGTACTACATGTTTGACTTCCAAAATAATATTTGCATTATACATAAATACAATGAAAATAGAAGATTTATTTCCCATAAAGTGCCTGTTTCCATGGAAGTGTTGCCTAAGACCATTGCACATAATTATAATTTATTTGTGCGTACAAATATATTGACAAGGTCCAGATTTTATTATGGCACTTAATATACTTTAGGATTCAACCCCAACTTTTATTTTTCCAAAATGGAATACTTTCCTTCTGCTTATTTTCTCATATTTATTAATCCTCCCATACTTTCAATTATGTTCTATCTTTTTCTGTAATGTCCATTGGCTCACTGATTTATTTGTCCACCCATCTCTCTAACCCTCCATCCCTCCACTGAGGTGCATCATTGTGTCAGCACTATGCTTCCTTCTGGCAATAACACCCTGCCTTAACTCACCATACAGCATAACAAAGGAGCAAATGAGAAACCCAGTCTAATTCCTACCGATCTTATAATGTGATAGCTACAATTATTTCACCTTCCAGGATAACACCCTCAAGAATTATAATCTCCATGTCTGTTGATTTCTACTTTTATAATACTATGGCTTTTACCATAACTGATATTCAATAAAATCCTAGTTCAGAAGAGATGTGTGTTTTAGAGTCAGGATTAAAGGATAAAGTAGTCAAACTTACCTACATAAATTCACTAAATGGTACCACACTAGAGACTAATCATTGTCTCCCTTCAGGCACAATCACAGCAAGTTTGTCCCTTATGTTGTAAGAAATTGTTAAAATGACAAATAAGTCATCTAAATGTAGATTCATATTGCATGATAAATGCTATGTAGTTAGAAATTGTAATCCAAGTGCACTCATTCTCGGACTAAGGTATTCACAATAGGACAACATAAAGGCTGAGTCAGAGTTCAGCAGACATACATACATTTTCCACTCTGATGTTCACACTGAAGTCTATACTCTTCCAGTAAGCATCGCAGACCTTTACCTGCCCCGGCTATATGTTCTTTTCTTTCAGTCACATATTTATACAAAATATGCCCCCAGTCACCTACCAAGTGCTGTCATTTTACTTTCAAACAGACTGTTGTACTAGAAGTTATGGGAGTACATGAATTATGTCTAGCATCATGCCGCTTCTTGCTGAACAACAGTGTATCACCAACTCCTTGGGGCAAAAGATACTCTGATGTCATTTTCATTTACTCTCACCATTTCATTCCTGTACTTTCTACATTCCTACTCTACTTCACAATTGACTTCCACAAATGAGGCATGTTTCTTCACACTTCTCCACTCTGCTTTTGGTGCTTTTCTCATGCCATCCCATGAGATCCAGCAAACATTCATCTTTAATACTTGTTTTAAATGTCCCCTCTTTAGTGATGTGTTATCAGTGTCCCTAAACTTTACCCCATCCTGGCTCCCTGCTCCTTACCATAGTAAAGTTCAGAGTTCTCCACTCCCATAGGCTTGGCAAATAGGACATTAGCAAATGTAACACTAAAAATTTGAAAGGTGCTTCTGCAATTAAACTTGTCTCTTTTTGCCTTCTGTGACTGCTAGAAAAACATTCCTGGGTTGCCTTGCTGGAGGATGAGAGAATGATGCAAGTCATTTCAAACCAAGGCAATCCTAGATCAGCTAACTGCAAGTTAAGCCCTGGATAAATGAGCTGCCACATTCCACTTTACGATAACTGTCTAGATGGTCCATAGATGACTACAAACATATGAGCAAGCTTAGGAGACGCCAGCCCCACAGCTGTATCCCTCAAACTCCAATCACACACTGTTGACTTCTTGCTGTTGTTCCTCAAGTTGCATGAATGCAGCCAAAGAAAACAGATGCTCTGTTAAAGACTTCCCTAATCATTCAAAGAAGTACTTCCTCATGAATGCAACCTCCGAGTCTTGAACCTTCTTTTATTACAAAAGTCAACAGACTTTACTATGATAAACATTTGATAAGTGAACCAGTAACATGATTATTTGTGAGCTTTGATCTCTTTCTAAAACTACCCTTCTTGAGGATAAGAACATCTTTGTGAGTCAGACCATACATAGACCATAGACTCAAAAGAGTTCGGGCATGTCTAGAATGGGATCATGGCTTGGAGAGTAGAAAACTTTGAGTTCAAATGTCAAGCTGAGAAGGTCAGAAGCAACAACTTCAAAATCTTTGTGAGGCCACCAAATGAGGAAATCCATTTAAAGTAGCAGGGCTCAGTGAATATATTATTTGGTTGAATGAATTAATGAAATTATCCTTTCATGGAAAAATTCTTAGAATGAATTCATCAAAACTGGGATATCCTTAATCCAACTGTCAAATCTTAACATCACAGATGTTCAGAACATTTTTAGCCTTTAATTCGATCAGTGACTAAGGAAACTGATGTTCCAACTTTGTGAAACTAACTACATAGTAAAAATGAAAGTGTACCTTAGAGGACTATCCTTATGAACTAATTCCTCCCAGCTGTTAAATGCAAGTTGTTTATCTTTCATTTAAACAAAAGTTACAATTTGTTGCTTATGAAATATTCGTCCTGTGAGCACCTACACAAGAGAGATGCACCTGGCTTGTAATGACTGCCTGATCTTGAGCAGATTAAGTACGCTGGTTGATGAGCTACTTTCCTACACAATGAAGCAACGTGCACTCACCTCTCTGGAGGCAGGGAGCCTTCTTTCACAGCCACTGTAAAAACAAGAGACAGAGTAAACAGGGGGCATTGGCAGCAGGCTGGCTAAAGCAAATGATGAATATGGGATGACTGAGACCCTGAGACAAGTGTGGGAGGACAGCTTCCATGTGCCCTGGCTTCTGTATTTCAACCATGCCATACTGGTACCTGCCAGTTCCTGCTCATTCCACTTGCCCATGCTTTATGGAGGTTATTTGTGGATAGAATCTCTTGCATTACACTTTGACCACCCTAAGGACTGTTACCTTAGTTGTTCTGCAAACAAAATGCCCAAACTTAAATACCTGGAGAGTTGGAGAGCTAGGATCTGCAAAAGCTCATTTTATTACAAAAAACCTTTGTGCTATGTTCTCTAATAACCAATTCTCTTTCACAGGGGTGGTTTGAATCCTGAATTATTTAATATTGGTAAAAATGGGACTTAGAATTCTCTGATATGAAGGTGGCTACATTATCAGCTATACTTAAAAGAGCTCTGCCTCTGTAGAGTGTTCTTTCAAGATAAGAACTTGTAACCATAGTCCCCAAGTTGTGGTTCAGGCACTATCAACAGCAGCATCCCCTGCAGTTAGTTAAAAGGAAAAATTGTTGGCTTCCAGCCCATTTCAACTAAGTCAGAGACTCTGAGACTATGACTCAATGATTTGTATTTTAATCACTCTTCTAGGTAGGTCTAAAGCATGTTCAAGCTTAAGAATCACTGAGTAGGAGAAATTCAACCACAAGGTTTCCTGAAACAGTTGAATGAACAATCAAAGATTGCTTTAGCTCTCTCAGTGTACCATCTGCTGGCACTGATAGTCACAGTCACACTGCTTAGTACAGTGCTACATAGCACCCCAAAGTATGTGTTCACCTCATATTTCGTTAGTGTGAACATCAGCAAAGACATTTAGGATATCAACAAGATCAGACTGCAACAGGAGCAGTGAGGGATAGAAAGGTGTTTAAACAGCACAAAAGGAAAAAAATGCAATAGCAAATGGCTTCCCCAAATGCTTCAGTTCCTGGAAAGGACCAGAGAGATCATGGGCAGGGGATTTCAACTCATTACTGAAGGCAGACAGGGGAGGCATGAGGTCAGCCCTGGAAGAATCTTAGGTCAAGTTCATATTGACCTTTTCCCTTTTCAGCCTGCCCTTCCTTCTCCTGCCTGGATCGTGTTAAGTGCACAGGTTTTACAGGAAACATAAAAGCTCATGGCCTCCCTGCTCAGTGATTTGATCTTTTCTTCCTCTTGGACAGATTCCCAGTGATCAAACGCAGCATTCCTGGGGGAAGCTGGCTGGCCCAGGAGTGATAAGGAGCCCTTCCCCGCAGGTTTGTCATTTCATGAGCCAGCTGCCATGGCCTCTGCGTGAGACAAGCAGTGATGGACACTGAGTGCTCTAGAAGACTCACCTGGGAGTCCAGGCAGAAAGCAAGGGACCTGGGGGATGCAGGCACGTTGAGCGATGCATTTCCCTTACCTTCAGCTGGGATCTTGGAAAGAGCTGCTGCCTGCCTCTGGAAAGGCAAAAGGCTCACCACAGGGGGCTTCGGAGGCTTTGCGGGAGGAGGACCCAGGGATTCCATAGAAGGCAGCGGCTTTTTGGGGGGCAGTCGATGATGCCTGACATTTGCCTGTTTTTCTGAACACAGACAGAAAAAAAAATGTGATTACTACCTCCATTCCCAGCAAATTGAGAGGAACTGGTTTTCTTGCACTACTAGTCTCATTCCCCTTCACACTCTTCTTCAACCAGCAATCAGAGCTCCCTGATCCAGACACAGACACGCTCATAGCTCATATCCCTCATATCCCTCTTCCTGTTGCCTGTTGCCTGGGACTTTCTTAGAATGATACCTTCATGCTAACATGTAACATCCCACTTCCCTGATCCTCAGCCCCAATTTCTTAGCCTGAAAAAGCTTCCATAGCTTCAAGACTTGGTTCATGCCATTCTTGATTCAAGAACGCTATTCCTTTTTTTTTGGGGGGGGGAGGGCTCATTCACTCAAGGCTGTGTTCCAGTAAATCAAGGCCAGAATTAAGCATTCCTCATCTGGTCTTTCTATTGCACATTCTTAAAATTTTCACATCTGTATTGTGGCAAATTGGAGAAACTGATCTAGCTTCCCAATGTATATGGCCAGGGACTGTGTATAACTGATCTCTGAGCCTTAAGCATAGAAGATGGACTATGACTAATTGCCCAAAGAATTTTAAAACATGTATGACCTGCAGATAACATGGGAACTGAACAAAGGAAAAAGAATTCACATCTGATTCCAGAGCACATAGATAATTCAAGAATGAGTAAATGCTGGACAACTGTGAATTTTGTGCCTTAGGTCTCAATTTTTCAAGTTTTCTCCTTCTGTGCTCATAAATGTAACTTCAATAGAAATTCCATTGTCATATATAAAAATAATATTTATTACTCTGAAAATACCACATAATATGATATGACCCAAGTGTTTTATTTTTTTAATTTATATAATACAGTAGGTGGCTTCATGGGCCCTCCATACTAAAACTTTAGAAGTAGACATGTCTCTGTGAACTGTCCTTATACTGTCACTATGAGCTGGGGCTAAGGTAGCGGGCAGCTTCTTTCCTGCCCAGTCAGCTCTATACCCATAAATTTGGGGCCAAAATTCCTCCTAATCTTTTAGGCTATAACTAGAAGTCACAATGATATAAGCGTCAGTTTTAACAAACTACACAGAAGCACATGAAAGTGAACCATCACTACTAATTGGGCTCCCAGGTTTTACCAGTTTTGGTGTGAAAAGGCTCACATGGAATATTTGAATAGTCTATCTGGTAACAATCTGTCCTTCTTAGCTCTTTCCCATTCCTCTTTCTTCCCTGTCATTTTTTTCCTTCCTTACCATCCCTTCATCTATAACTAATTATTATTCCAGGCATTGCTCTAGGAACTGGGGATAAACTCAAGAATAAGAACAGGCACAGTTCTTCCTTTCAAGAATTTTCATTCTAGTGAGAGGATATGAGTGATAAACAAGTTAACAAATTAATAAGACCATGACAGAGATTTATTGGTTTTGTCAAGGAGTGTAAACTGTTGATGTTTGTAAAGGCTGCTCTTAGAAAATGTCATTTGATCTTAGATATAGCCAAAAAAATGCATTTCCATGAAGAAATAGTGAGTGTAAAGTCGTGAGGCCTGACAAAGTCTGAATAGCAAGAAACCTGGTGCATTGACTATGAGTAAATGTACTAACAAGTAGAGGTAGGAGATAATTTAAAGACAGTGGTATGAAGGGCTATGCAGATCTTATATGTATCTTATGTTCTTTTTTAGGTACAAAGAAAAATTATAGATGAGATTCCAATCCATCCATTGATTCAATCAAAACATATTTTGTGAGCTTACTCTATCTAGACTTGCTTCCCTTGGTGCAAATGATATGATAGTAAAAAGGAACAGGTTTTATCCTCTTATAACTTATACTTTAGTAAGGCAAATAAAAACACATACCAATATACTAGGTAGAGATATGTGATATGAAAAAAGATCAAAGCAATATAAGAAGATAGAAATGAGAGGGGAGTAGGGATTACTCAACAAGATGCATTAAGCATGTGACACCTATGCAGAGACTTTGATGAATACAATAAGATGCCAAAGACCTGGAAGAGAAGTGTTTCAGGAAGGATGAAAATGTACAAAGCTTTAGAGTAAATCCAACATGGTATAGTTAAGGAATTATAGAGTTTTGTTGTGATAGATTGAGGGCAAGAGAATTAGGCCAGGCTAAGTTTGCATGAAACTTATAAGAATATTGAAGTTGACTTTGAGAAAGACAAGGATGAGATCTGATTTAAGGTTGAGAAGACCAGTCTACCTGTTGGGAAAATGGAACATAATTAGATAAGAATGTGGGAGCAGAGATACTAATTGGTCTACTGGACATGTCCAAATGAGAGATGTTGGTGTGGAAAAGAACAGTAGGAAGTGGATGATGTTGAGAAATTGGTAGTAGAACCAGGATCTTGCTGAGGGATTACATGCAAAGAATGAGTTAGGGGGAAGAAAAGAGCATGGTTCCTACTTTTTGATATGATAAACTGGGAGAATAGTTGTGCTGTTGAATTAAGATTGAGGAGATTGAATATATCTGATTTCCTGGAGAACAGTGGAAGCTTTAAGAATTTATATACACTGTCCAAGTTCATGTAGTTTGGATGAAGCACAGATAAGATTCAAACCAAGATTAACCAAACTGTCTTACAATGTAATTATGGAAGGTTCATCACATTAACCAAGTCCACAATTAAAATTTAGCAGATACACCTAAAATTCCACGCTAGATTTGGGAGCAAACATCACTGGCATCACAAATATGCCCACCCAAGTAAACAAACTTTAAATCGGAAAAGTACATTCCTCCAGTGACCCCAGGGCTTCCATGTTTTACCTGGGGCCTGACTAGCAAGCTCATACTCATAAACAGATGGACAGGTGGTAGTGTTCTCCAGGCTCCTTGGAGAACTGGGATTTTCCTGGCTCTTCCTGCCAGCTTGAGGAAGCGATAAAGAAGGTTCTCCAAAGTCAGCAGGTGTTTCTGTCTGGGTTATCAAATGCTTCTGGGAGTGGAGAACATGAGGTCCTTTTGTTTTCACCCTTATCTTGGGTTCCTTTGGAGTAAGTTCCATGGCTTTTTGTCTTGCTGCATAAAAGGCTTTACTTCCACAATTGGAACGAGGAAAAGGGGTTGCCATCTCACTACTCTGTGATGAAACCTTCTCCCAGTTCCAGAGTTTATTTCTGAAGCTACTGGCCACCATTGCTTTCTTCTCATCAGTTAAACCAGCACTCGGTTTTTCCAAATCTAACAGCAGAGAAACCTTCTGGGAGTTTCCTGCTGAAAACATCGTACACTTTCTCTGAGGTTCTGGGTTATTCACATCCTTCGGAATTTCACTCATCTTGGTTAACATAATTTGTTGGGGTTTGAGAGTCTGGGAATCCCCACTGGAATTAGACGGTGACCGTTCTTTGTGGTTGTCTAAGAAGAGATTTCCATTAGTCAAGATCTGAGTTGCCTGTGTACTTCTTTTATTCTTTTGAGAAATACCTGCTGGGAATTGAGTAGGTCTCAGCAGAGATGGAGCATCAAAATTTTGAAATTTGGCCTGAAGTTCCTTGAAGTTGCTTATTCTTTCCTAAAAAATGAAAGGAAAATGAGTATTTCATTATTCCAGGGGGAAAAAAAGTTGACTCCACAAAATGTGTTAAGGGGTTAGTGTAATGCAATTGCTAACCCATTGGGCAGTCTTAGTCTTAATGCTCTTGTGTGTGTGAAGTGGAATAAAAGCAAATCACTCCTCTTTGAAATACTGCAAATATACTGAATTTTCTCACAACATACACAGAACACTTACACATATCCTCAACAGTTGCTGAGAAACCCAATGACAAAAAATTTTGATGGCTTTACCAAGCTTCATAAAGGACACTTCAAAAAGGTGGGGACAGTTAGCTCAGAAGATGGTAGCCAATATCACTACATATTGATCAAACAGGGGCATTTAAAACTTTGCTGGAAAACTTGTACTATCCAGCATTCTCATTTTGGTTATGTATTCTTATTCCATAAGATGGACTAGATTTAAGATGGAATAGACTTGTTAACTCCTTTCTTACACTGCGAGCCTGCCTCTTCCTCAAGACCAGCATTGGGTTTGACAGGCAGAGCTAGTGTCTTCCTGTTCCCGTGGTGTTTCTCTGGGCACTCCCTATCTTGGGCAGTTGAACAAAACATTCTGAAATGGAGAAAAGCAAGCAGACAAACAAGCTAGGTAGTCCCATGTTCAAACTGCAAGTGCTGTATTATCTAAACAAACACTGGGAAACCTCATTGCACCTCTAAGTGCAGTTGTATCACAAAAATAAGCTGCCAAGATCTGAGGGTGGCTGCATTAGGGTAACTGCATAGAATGTAGCAATCATATTGCCTGACACATAGATGGTTCATGATAAATACAGGCTACAAGGTACTAGATGATACTCTTGCCTTTTTAGCTCCCCTTGAGAAATTAGATCCTTTTAAATTGACCTGAAGCCCAGTACGTGAAAGTTAGAATGGCACCTCAAGCCTTCAGGCTGCGGAAAGGATGCACCCAGCACTGCACAATAATGTGGTTGGTGGTCCAGCCAGGCAAATGGAGGCCACACTACCATTCAGAACTGTTTCTGTGCTTTTCTCTTTTCTGCCACTAGAGCTCCCTTCGTTTTGTAAGAACTTCTCACACAGAAGGTGAGAAGACATCTAACAGCATTATTTCAAAAAAGTGAGAAGCTCAGTTCTGTCCTAGTCATGTGACATATTTTAATTTCTTACGCACAGACTATCTCCATGAGATTGGTTTCTAAATCTACCGGCTGAAAGAATGTAGAGTGACCTTTTCTCATTGTTTATAGTTGACCCACAGCTGAACGCTGAGGCTTAGGTAGGGAAGGGACTTGGATAGGAAGCATGAGCCAGGTGTCTGGGAGCTCTCTCTCTCTTTCTCTCTCTCTCTCTCTCACACACACACACACACACACACACACACACACACACAGTATACATCTGCAGCTCACCCCACAAATTGCTTATGCTTTAACCAACAGATAATCCAACGAGGCTTGTTTCTTCCTGTGTGGTGGAAGTCAGCATAGGGCATGGAGATGTGGGTGTGAAATCCAAAAACCCAGTTTAGCTGTTGTCTAGTCAGATGCTTTGGGTGATCTTCTGCACTTCTAAACTATGTTTCCTAACTTACACTTCTCACGGTAGGTCAGAGCTCCTTCAGAATCAATGAAACAGCAGATGTGGGCCCCTCAAATTTTTAATTGCTGTAAAACTCACACAACAAAACATTTTATTATAACCATTTTGAATGTATAATTCAGTAGTAATGTAGATTCGTAATGTTGAATAATCAACTCCAGAACTCTTCTCCTTTTACAAAAGAAAACCGCTTATAACCATATGTCTCTTAGAATTTTGCTACTCTAGGGACTCTATGTAAGCAGTGCCATGCAGCGTTTGTCTTGTGACTGGCTTGTTCCGCTCAGCAGAAAGGCCACAGGTTTATCCCCATTACAGCAGTGTTAGAATGCCTTCCTCTTTAAAGCTGCATAATATGCATTGTAGGTAGCTAACACATTCTGCTTATGCATTCATCTGTTGATGGACAGTTGGGTTGCTTCTACATTTTAACTGTTTTGAATGATGCTTCTAGGAATAGAGGTGTGCAAATACCCCGACACCCTGATTTCAATTCATTTGAGCTTGTTCCAAGAAATAGAATTGCTAGATCCTATGGTAATTCTATTTTTAGTGCTTTGAGAAAATTTCATACAGTTTTCCATGGCAACTATCATTTTGCATTTTTACTACTCGATGCACATGGGTTCCAATGTCACCACATCCTCCTTCACATTTAGTTTTTTACAATGGCCATCACAATGATTGTGAATTGGTCAGTGGTTGATATATTTAAAGAAATGTAATGATTCTCTCTAAATCTTATTATCTGAAACCACATAAATTCCAAAGTTATTGCTTTATAGGTTTTAGTCTCTGTAAGATTAATTAAGCAGAGTATACACATCAAGAGGAAGTAAATCTAATTCAACACAGCTTATTCCTCTTTCACTACATGTCAAGTCTATGTTTTCTAGGCAAAACTCCTTTTTACAGTGTTGAGTTCTGATTTTTTTTTAATTTATAAAACTCTTTAATAAATTGTATAAAAAATAGCACCTTAGACATCTCCCACTTGCAACTGAGCCCCTGGTCTTGATGTCCACACGCGGGGGTCGCAAGCATGGCCGCTGAAATAAATTAAAGGCTTGAGACTCTGACTCCCCCCAGTCCCACCTTCAGAGCCAACAAGCCAACTGCACAGGTCAATAATTTAACACCCACCTCCACCCACCCCAGGGGGCACAGAGCACCCCAAGGTGCAGAGTCACCTCTCCCTTAAATTAGCCACTGTGGGCTGGGGGACAGGACAGCCACCCCCAGGGGCATGGAGGAGGCAGGCTACTTGAAGAAGCAGCCCCAAGAATAAATTAAACAATAAATAGCCCCATGGGCCATTGCATGATTGCTTTGTGAGATGTAGCATCTGTCTCTAGCTCTCTATGGGGTCACACCATAAATAACACGTGGACACGTGCAGACAGGCCATGCATGGCCACCAGGCAACGAGGCCTGGACATTGCATTGTTTGTGCATAGTCGTGCCAGGAATGCCACTGGACTGGAGGGCAATGGTGGGCACATGCCCAGTGATGGACCAGGAGAGCTCTTGGCCACACAGGCAGCAAGGCCACCCACCAGCCCAGCAGCAGAGAAGGGATCTGGGGTCCAGCTGCGCCACGGTGGCTGCGGAAGCAGCGCAGGGGGCTGACCCAGTCCCGGAGTTCTGATCTTATAAATCACATTCTTACATTAAGGGAGATGTAAGTCAAGCAAATACGCAAGGAAATACTAGAGACAGATGCTACATCTCACAAAGCAATCACGCAATGGTGACTGGGTGCCTACAACTGATTTCCAGAGCTACAGCAGATACATAATGCCTTCCTCTGGGTTCATTTATGTACCAAATTAGAGTTTAGCCTGAATGGTCTCCAAGGGCTCTTCTAATACTAACCTGTAGATTTTGTTTTCTGTGCTTTTGATAGGAAATTGGTATGATGTATTTTTAAACTAGCCCCCACATAGTGGGAGTTCAGGCTACAGGGTACGAGACAAAGTGCAAGAGGATGCGTTGGGAGGTAGCCAAGGGGGCTCCAGGATAAAACCCTGCTCTCCTCTTCTGGAACCACAGTCTGTCTTCAAATCCTATGGAACTTCAATTTCATCATCATCAGAGGTGGCCCTTTCATGCTGTTGCCACTGCATTCCTATCTTCCTCATATCTTATTTGCAATTACCACCTTAGCGTTTCAGCTGTGCCTGTAAGTCTCCTAAGCCAGGGCTCAGCCTTTCAGGCGATGACTCCTGAGTCTGCTAGTGAAGAAATTGTTCCTAATCCTTCACTCAGTCTCTGGTGTCTGCTTGAGGGAAGTGCAGGTTTCCCACCTCAGTTTATTGTCACAATTTTTCTACCTAGAAACTATCAAATTACTGCTTGCCAAAATCCAACATTCATCACTTCCAGATATTTATTAGTGGCCTACTGTGTGCAATGAAATAGGGTTACAAAGTCAAAGAAGTCCCTGATTTGTTGGAATTCACAGAATAAAAGAAACAGAAATTGATCATTTTTATGAAACAGAAGGATTATTTAAATATATACTAACATGGGGCCCGGCGCGGTAGCGCAAGTGGTTGAGGTCCTCGCCTTGCACGCCCGGGATCCCATATGGGCGCCGGTTCTATCCTAGCAGCCCCGCTTCCCTTCCAGCTCCCTGCCTGTGGCCCGGGAAAGCAGTGGAGGACAGCCCAAAGCTTTGGGACCCTGCGCCCGCCCGCGTAGGAGACCCAGAAGAGGCTCCTGGCTTCGGATCGGCATAGTATCGGCCGTTGCGCTCACTTGGGGAGTGAAGATCTTCCTGTCTCTCCTCTCTGTATATCCGCCTTTCCAATAAAAACATAATAAAAATAAATCTTTAAAAAAAATAAATATATACTAACATGGTTTGTTACGGATGCTTAAAAAAGAAGTCATGGTGTAATCTGGAGACACAAAGACCTTCTATAGAAGACATCTCAGTTAAAGCAAGCAGCCAAGCAAAGGGTCGCAGACAAGGAAGTCCAGAGATAACAGCATAAATAGACAAAGTGTGACGATGGGAAATGGCAACTCACACAGGGGAAGAACTAAGAAATTTATCATTTCTGAACATTTATTTATTTTATTGGAAAGGTAGGTTTACAGGAAGGAGAGACAGAAATATCTTTTGTCTGCTGCTTTACTTCCAAAGTGGCTGTGACAGCCGGAGCTGAGTCAATTTGAAGCCAGGAGCCAGAAGTCTCTTCTGGGTCTCCCATGTGGGTGCAGGGTCCCAAGGTTTTGAGCCATCATCTACTGCTTTCCCAGGCCACAAGCAGGAAGCTGAATGAAAAGTGGAGCACCTGAGACATGAACCAGTGCCTATATGGGATCCCAGTGCACACAAGGCAAGGAGTTACTAGGCCACTAGGCCAAGGCCAAGAAATTCCT